TATTTACTTTAATTATCAGCTTGCTTATTAGATTTTTCCAGAAGCAACAAAGTGGCACAGAAGTAAAAGCAGCCAAGGAAGAAGCGATTTCCTCGGTTGCAGTCAAACCAGGATGACGCCATGTTTTCAGTTTTCCAAATCTATTAGCTAAATTCTGAAAATGCGCATTGTTGGCAGGCAACAGGACAGCGGGCAACCAAAAAGACAATAACATGTCCAACGATTCTATCACGCCCAAGTCCCTTGAAATCCCATGTAACTGCAATGATCCAACTAACCTGGATCGGATTCTACGCCTACCGCGCTGCCAAGCACATGCTGATATGGCAAATGTGCATGAATTTGGGCATTGCAGACTGGCGGGTGAAGACCGTGCTGCATAACAAAACTTTGCATTGTTTGATTTAAATGTTCAATTTCAGCCTGAAAATCTTTCAGTCTGCACTGAAAACAATAGCGCATGTGCTCACTGAAATGATCTGAAATAAAGAAATCAAGATAATCAGTGCAAAGAATCGCTGCGGCGTCCTTGCAGCTTGAGAACGAAGAGCAAACTCAAAAAGAATTCTTCCCTTCAATTTATCACAGCTTGTTTCCGAGTTAATACGGTACCCAAGTTCATCAGAACCTTTTTTTTTCCATCTAACAGCACAGCTTACTATATCCCATTTCGACTCTGGTGTCCATCACCTAGGTTTCATGAATATAGGAATGAGTTGGACGTATCCACCCACTTTAAAAAAGTTTCCAACTCATCGTAAAAATTCTTTCGTTTCTTGTCCCCAGTTCTTCACCAAGCCACTAATTTACTCTTTAAATATCAATCTGATAAAGAACACGAATGGGGAAATTGCCGTTCAAAATTTCGAAAATTTCATTTAAAATTTCTATGGATTTGTAGGCTGTTTGAAAATTGAACAAATCATTTTACCTGCGACAGCTGAAGCTTTCTTTCTGTTTCTATTTTCTCTTTCTCCAGCGTCGCATATTTTAGTTTGAGATTGGAAACCTCCGCTAAAAGATCCAGTTTCTTTGTTTCCAAATCTCCATTACTACCTATGCGCTGCAATAATTCAGTAGAGATAAAACAGCACAAAAAAATGAAAAGACAGGAAGCAGTCCAAATCAGAAAAATTAAATATTAACTCATTTTGGTTTCGTTAAATATCCTTAAAAAGTCTGAGGTCGCTGTGGACAGCTAAATACAGATGACTTTGTGAAGCAATTGGTTTACTGAATCAACAGATGACAACTTCTTTAAAAATTCCTTCAGTCCAAAAAAATCAGTAAAATCAATCAATTATGTTGAATAAGACAAACTTCTTGCAGCAATTCTTCAGTTGAGTCAAGATTACTAGTTTTAGTAGCCAGCAGGTTCTCCAAATCGCGGATCTTTTCCTTCTGTGCACCGACCTGCTCGGTCAATATTGTCACCTAGAATTGCACAGATTTTTTATCAGTCGTCACGATTTTCAGAATATATTCATGCAGTTAAGCACAAAACATCTAAAGGTAGCATAGATAGCATTACTCTCATGCTTCCGCTCTAGCGTTTCTTGGTTTGGGGCAACATTAGAAAGTCACTCTTTTTTATTCCAGCATTGAAAATTTCCCTGGGAAGAGATTACCTTCGTATTTGTTTCTTTCCATATGTTATATTTTCTGGATATTTTATAAACGCTGGTACGAAAAAACTATTATTTAGAATCGAATGTCTAATTCTGGCGGAACTGTTGCAAAAGCAGTTAAGGGAGAGCTATGATATACTATGAATCGAATTCTTGGGATGCAGTGCCTGCATAACATAATTGTGCAATAAGCAAAAGCACGCAGTTGTTTAGCCTAATTGAAATTTATTTTTAGAAGTTTCCAGCCCTGATATTACGCAAAAATAAATAGGGGCACGCAACAGGATCGTTGATGCGATCATGCGTTAGGCAAGTCCGTCTAGCGAACGTTTGCTGCTAAGAATTTTCAATGTTTTGCGTTTTGGTGTTTGCAGAAATGATCCTTATGTTGTCTAATTTCTAAGCTACAAAATTACCCACTAGAAATTTCACGTACTAGCACGCGAAACGTAAGTACACGTGAAAGCTGAATTTGAAGCTTTTGTTTTGCACATGGACGAGAAACATCCCTCCAAAATTTCAGCTTCCTAGTTTTTTTGGCTTCCGAGTTAATGACTTTTGCGCCAAAACTTCATCGTGACCTTACATGAGACCTAGGTACAAGTGGGAGCTACATTTGAGTCCGTGCGATCCTTGCATCAGCAGAAAATATCGTCCTGAAGTTTCAGCCTCCAATTTCTTATGGTTCTCGAGTTAGAAAATTTCTCTGCCAAGACTTTCATAAGACCGTATATGAAGCTAGGCGGATTTGAAGGCTGAATTTGAATACGCTGGGCCGCAAAAAATTCAGCTCTCAAGTTTTATAAGTCTGAATTGAAAAGCAGAGTAAAACGGACTCGTACACAGACATACATAGACAGAGGTACGACAATGTGCGTTCTGTGTAACGGTTCCATGAAAAGCAAATGTAAATGAACGACTGCACGGATTTTCCACGTTTTCTGTTTTTCACATTCAGAACTATTTCGTAACAAGCTGCACCTAGATTTTTTCGAATTTTCAGACGTACTGGGAAATCCTCAAAATTCTACATTTTTGACTAGAACTATTAAGAATTTTCGACTACAAAAAATTTTTCTTTCTAATGAGGACCTCCAGAGCGATTTTTAATGTAACAGAAACACCATGTCAACGACTGTTAAATCAATATTTATCGGAACTTCCTCAAACTAAGCACCTCCAGCAAAAAATGTAATGCGTACTTGGAGTGACAAACTGTCGCGAGCCATCGCCAATCGATGAAGCTTTTCCTGAAGTTCTGGGTACTCCGGACACGACACTGTAGACATTGATGGTGAGGGACTCTAAAAGCAGTGATTAAAAAACTGTTTCTGTGCAAGGAAAGTCGTAGTAAAAAATTTTTTTATTATAAAAATTTGGCCGATACAGTATGTGTAAGAGGGAGCCAATTGAGGATAAGGCCAGACGCTGGGCTCTTTGTCAAACAGCAATTTTTTTTCAGTAAGATTACAAGCGATTAAGGAGCTTCGCAAGATGTGGTCTAATGATCAATTTATTCATTCTGTCATAAGCACAACTCGATCGGTTTTTACTGTTGGCGTAAATATTATGTAAATGGAAATAGCCGTTAAAATAAATAACCCAGGCTGGAACGCATCAGATTTGCCGGTGCGATCATACGTTTTTGCACCAAATTCGCAGACCGCTAATAG